TATATATATAAATCACTATAATGCCACTTTAATTGGTGATATGTGACTTCTCTGTGCTGCTGAGTGGGGACACCTATTATTCTACACCTCGGAAGTGAGTCTACATTTCTATCTCCGTTAATGCGACCCGAACCACAAAGTCTACCCCCACAAAATTTATATCAAAACGACCAGCTCGGCCCCGTGACGTGCGCTATTAATTTTATTGGCATTTCAAGTTACCATGGCGAAGTAATTTGCGAACAAAGACGCAATATTTCACCAACTCCAGGAACTAGTTGGTGACTGCCCACTTATTATTCTACACCTGATAAGCGTATCTTTTTCAACTTTAATGCGGCCCAAACTGCAAAGTGGACCCCTACAAAAGTTACATCCAAACGACCGGCCCGGCTTCGAGATGTGTGCTATTAATTTTATTGGCAATTGGCGTTACCATGGCGACATATTTTGCTAATGAAAATGACAAATTTCCCATAGGAAATGAATAGGAGACAACTTTTCAAAGAAACTGAGTAACGTCGGGAGCCATTTTGGTTCAACATGCATGGAAGGCACCTATTATCACCTATTATTATTATTATTAATTAGTAAAAAAAAAAATAACATAAATTATTAATGATTCATTTTAATAATTACAAATAATAACATTAATAATTATTCATATTAATAATTTATATTTAACATCAAATACCCACCACTCATGCTCATCTTAGTACTCACCACAGACTCATGTTCAGGCTGCTGTTTAATATACTGTATTATTTTACATTATTAGTGTTTAGCGTATGTCAGATCCTTATATATATTTCTTTATATACTTTATATTTTTGCTATTTTTGGATGTAACTGGGACCCCGAGTACACAGTTTCATTCCACCTCATGTGCCACATGTGATGCTTGTCCTGAGCCTGTTTCTGCTAAAGGTTTCTTCCTCATGAGGGGGTTTTTCCTTTCCACTGTCGCCTTCATGCTTGCTCAAGATTAGAGGTCTGCGATGAAGCAGTCTGCTCCTCAGATAAATAATGTTAAATTATTATTTTGTATATATGAAAGTTTCTGTTCAGTGCCCTGAGACAACTTCTGTCATGACTTGGCATAAGATAAATAAACTGAACTGATGCGAATGACAATAAAGGTACTTGAACTTGATACACAGGAATACAAGAAGGTGGAAAAATAACTAATAATAAACACGAAGGACTATTAAAAAAACACAGATCCTAACAATGTTACTGCTTTTTGGATTATCATAGTAGAAATGGAGGCCTTGAGAAAAATATAATTAAACACTGACGTGCTTTTATAGTTGCAATAAAATCAGAAGCAGCTTGCTAAGGTTGCTTTGCTGTGGTGGTCATCCTAACTTTAGTTGACTTTAAATGCAAGTCAGTTGTAGATTTGCATCCGATGATTGTATTCTGAGTTTCATTAAAGCCCATGGACTGGTTCATGAGATACTAACCCCATATGAACCAGAACAGACGGTCTGTTGGTCAGACACAGTCAGGTGTGTGTGCTGATTAGGTCAGTGAGTTCTTCACTTACCGGAGGTTAAAGAGGGCGTTCGGTGGGGGGTCAGGCCGACTAATCGTCTCTGTATTATTAATACAACAGATCCAGTTGCAGCTCAGCTCTCCATTAAAATGATGTTAAAATACCCATGGAAAGATTTGTTGCTAACGCATGATGCAAAACCTCAATTCAAAATAATTGATCATTTTTAGAAATCTAGCATAAGTCTGTGTGTGAATTTTCCTTCACAGTGATCTTGAATTAAAAATGATTCCAGCAGACGTCCTGTATTATTCTGAGAAAACGTTGCAGCACAAATTCTTTTTTTTTTTTTTTCACAAACACATAAGCCTTTTAAAATTTGAAAAACTGCATTTTTTGCACAAAAGAAAGTGCGTGTGCATGCTGAGTGACGACAGAAGAAACTGAACCCGAGTTGTTCAAGTTAAAACAAGAACAGAAGCTAAAATGAGCTAAACAGAAGCTAAAATGGGCTGATCAGAAGTTAAAATTAGCAAAAAGAGGCAAAAATATGTTGAACAAAAGATAACATGAGCAAAAAAATCTGTATGATTTGCAAAGCAGATGCTAATTATGACATAGCAAAGGCTAAAATGAGCAAAACAGACTCAAATAAGTTAAATAGAGGCTAAAATAGGAATAACAGAGGCTAAAATGAACATAGCAGATGTTAAAATCAGCAAAACTGTGGCCAAAATGGACATAACAGAGGCTAA